CAACATATGTACTTAAGCATCATTATGCATTTCCAATGAAGCTACGTATGTCTTCTACACATTCATCAAATCATTAGCTTAAGTAAACAGCCGCATCAATTGTGAAAAGCCAATTCGATAATTTAGCTAGCATTGGTGTTTCTTTTAGAATGCACATCTTAGGTATTAGTACAGTTGGTCATCCCAAAATATCTTGCTAATCCACTAGTCGATCATGATCGACTTAATGCCCACCCACTTAATGCACTTTGTTAGCCAATTACTTTTTTTTTTTTTTTTTGTGTGTGTGTGTGTGTGTGTGTGATTGCTGCATGAGTCATTACTCAAGTTGTCATGTATTGATAAACACATGGTGATAAAAGCAAAATACAATAAATAATGATTTGTCAGGTTGGTATCAGGGATAAAAAACATTAGTAGATGTAAAATCAACGATGTCTCTATGTAGATTGTTTCTGTTTGAGATATATGCCAAGTAAATAATGCAGCTAAGGAGCCAAATTATTGATGTCACAAATTTATGCTAAAATGATTGTTTCTTCAACAATGAGGAATTTTATTTAGTGCCTAAGTGAAATTAAGAATCAGGACTCTACATGTTTTATTATGAGGGAAAATATCAAATCTGCATGCATAAAGCATACAAAAAAATTCCTAAAAAAAAAGGTTGTTGGTGGCTTTTAGGTCCCGATTTTAGATCATTCTAAATCTACAATGGGAATAGCAATATTGTATAGTGATGGAGTATATCATGACAAACAGTCAATATAAATTCAACATTTGAGACATATATAAGTGTTGTTAACAAATGTTCTTAGGAAGTCATTTTCTTAAAGCAACTATTTAGTGATGTTAAAAAATTATATCAAGTTCCAATAATGCAAGTAAACAACACTACCACAGCAAGACTGGCATAAAACTAATTTCATTGACACAAAACACATTGATATCAAGCATTTTTTCATGCAAGAGAAAGTTCATGAAAAGCCAATCATGCAACAGATACTTACAGAGATAACTGACATAATGACAAAACTACTAAAGTACAGACTGCTGATTCTTTATGACAAAATGGGACTCCTGTGATTTTCATTTATTTATTACTATTCTTTGGCAAAGGGAAATGTTTAAATATGTTGTATAAAAAAGATAATAATATCTAATACATTTTTTAGTTTAACACAGTTGCAATGTTGTAAAACTCCAGAATGTAGTATTTTCTAATCAAACCTTTTGTTTTGCTCTGTTATGTTTTTGCTTTAGTTTAAAAACACTTTTTTAAATATGTCACAGAAAAATCATTTCTGGAATCATGTTGTTAAGCTTTTTATTTATCAGACTTACTTGCTCACTTATTTATCAAACAAGCCACATACATGATAATGTTGCAGCTCAGAGGGTGATTTTATTAATACTAATTTTGAACATATTTAACTTCCAAGCTGATAAAAAAACCATATATATTTGAATAGCTGTTCAGCAAAACTTAAAACCAATCATCTGCCATAATGCCAATATATATATATATTACTTCCTTTCCAATTTCTATTATGCAGTTTTCAAAAGTTATGACATATCTTAAGGTTTAAGCCTATTTAATGGTGGACATGCTAAGTTTAAAATTTGTTAGTGTTGCTACAAACTTTTCAATCAACTCTGATAAATGTATTTAGCAACCCTTATCCGAAGTTCTGTATTAATTCCGCTAACCTTAACTGTGAGACAGGTTATGTACTTTTGCATTATTTCCAGCTGAAGATATGAAGCAAGAACAAATATTCACCTGAATTCCACCTTTCGCCGTCTCTCCTTTCGTGAAAATTTCTCCCCAGTGGCCCAATGTTTTTCGCAGCATGTAATGTTCTTTTCTCTGTACATACATAACTTTCGCCGTGGATGAATGTAAATGAATATTAAGTAAAATTATAAGGAAATAAAGTGTAATGGAAAAGTAATAATATCTCTGCTTATTTCTAACAGCAGGATTGATTTGATAACATCTGATCCAGGCGGTCCACTCCTCCCATTTTGTTGTTGTAATCTTTTACAATAATTGGTTTTTTTACAGTTCTTTTCCATGTTTCAACATCAATCATAGAGTTATTGGACTTTACTCATCAAACGTATATCCTTCTTGTCGTTCCAATTCAAAACCTCATTTTTTCCTTTTTTTCTGCTGCGTAGACGTTGAAGATATCTCATTTTCTTGTATCTTATGTAAAATGGCGCGAATATTCATAAAACCTGGGGAGGGGGGATTCAATTAGAAATAGAATGCCAGATTAGTACTGCCCTCTAGGAGGTATTAAAACAAACAGAAATAAAAACTCAAAAAAGTAAACATTTAGAAAGCATTTTAAACATTTAAAAGTTTTAAAATGTAGAAGAACGTTTGAAGCACGTTATGGCCACCCTGAAGAAGTTTCACTTGAAAGCGCTAGAAGCATTTCGCACAACAAAGAGGTTAACAGCTTTTGAAGAGATGAGTATTTGAAATGGCATTTGGGTAGAAAAAGAAAGACTGTATGTCAAAATTGGAAGTTTGACAAAACACCAACAGAATTTAACAGTGCATCATGGAAAACTTATGCCAATAAGATCATAGGTCAGTCTTCCATTGGTCTACTTGCTTTCGTGGAAGACATGTCAAACATATGATAAGACAGAAAGATAAAAAACATCAACATATGAAGCACTGTCCAATATGTAAGGAAATATCTCAAGTCTTACACATATTATAATTTAAGATATTAAACTTCAAATTTATAAAGAAACATATCACTGCATAATTTCTCTTCTAAAATGCAATTATATTTCAAAACTATTTGTTACAAGTGAGTCATATGAAAAGGACCAAAAGGTTGCAGTTTGGCTATTTCTGGTATATGCTGATAAGAAGAATATAAGCATCCACAATTTTACCTATTCATTCACACTCAAGTTATGAGAATCATTAATTGAAGGTCAAACGAAACAGCATTTTGATTTCTGGCAAGATCTCCAAATAGTGATACCAAATATAATTACTAACATTTTAAATGCCTGTCTACTGGAATCAGTAGCTAATTTGTTTACCATTGTGCCTTTCAAGAGGAACGGCACCATCATCATTTTTTCAGGAGAAATATGGAGATAATGCTATTTCTTTTATTGTTATTAACTTTTCTAACTACATATTTATAGCAATTCAACAGGAAAATTTTTATAATTATATATTTTTAGAGAACTAAAATCATTTGCATTTACCTTGAAAATAAATAATATTTAAAAAAAAAAATTAAAGTCAATTCCTACTTAGGTCAACAAAGAAAAATTTTATTTTAGTTACTTTTTATTAACATCATTAATAATTTTTTATTTCTGATTTATGAAGCTAAAAGTGGTCTATAATTCCTCATTCTATCCATCTCTTGTAATGCTTCATTATTCCAAGGAACCTTTCCAGTGAGTTTCGAGCAGTACAGTATTCCATATAATGATTTCACGACTCAAGGCGATATATGCTTGACCTGCTTGCGAACAGTTTTCATCCTAGATATATTACTGCATAATCTACAGTGCTATTTATTTACTTTAATAAGCAAAGGACATTTTAAAGGGATATATTTTAAACATATATTATTATCACGTTAACATAGAAATATGGGGAGCATTTTTGCTACCTAATGGGACATTACATACGCTTCATCGAACTCTATAAAACTACGATTCTTTAATTCCATACACATTAAAAACCTTTAGAACTCTGTCTTGCTGTTGCCATTTATTTTGTTAAATATTACAATCCCATTTATCACAGTCATGTACTATTATTTACAAGATGTTATAAAATTAATTTTTACAGCACGTGAGAATTCCTAATAAACAGTCATTATTTGTAAGTCTTATAATATCTTTAAAAAAAAGCATATCTTTAGTTCCGATAAACAGGAATAAACAAGTAGGAATTGAATTTGCTATGTGAAAAATCTATATTAACATCAAGTATCATCCAATACAAGTTTAAAAAATTGTATTTGAACTTGAGTAGATGAATAAAAAGTATAAGTACTTTATTAACTATTGAAAATTTGAACAAGATATAGAGAGAGTGTGAGCTAATAGTAGTAATTCAAAAATTAAACATTCCAATTGAAAGTTATTCATTATAAGTATTATTTGCATCTGATGCTTCTGATATTTTCAAATGTTCAACTAATAGTACTCAAATGGCATTTTAAAGTGGACCTTAGACTGATAAACTAACACAATTAGAAAATAATTACTTTATTTTCTGGAATTTATTTCTTCTTAATTTCCCAGGATTCGATTTAACTATAGTATTGACAGAAAGAAATGAAGCTAGAGAAAATAGTTTAATAGTCTTAATTAAATATATCCTTAACAATTTTTACACATACTAGAATATACTGACAAATAATAGGGAACATAAAATCACAAAAGCCAAATCAAAGGAACTTTTGAATAATACAGTTGAAGTTGAAATCATGGTTAATCCACGATCGGGGTCAATTAAGTAAATATATCAGAATATGATGAAAACTTACATTAAAAGACTCTTCAATCTTAAAATATTCAATGTAGTAAAAGGAGAAAACTATCATGCTCCTAGTGAGATGCCTATACAACTTCCTTCATAACTAAACAGATTTAATCTTGTGTTTCTTCACAGTATGCTTGTTCAAAAGTTATTCTGCATTACCAAAAAATCTTTTATAAAGAAAAAAAAGATATACATTGGCATCTAGGCAGATCTCCTAGCTAAATAACTATATTATATAGTTGCAAAATTAAATTACCTCCTCCCCCACACACTGAAATTTCAGTAAATGATATATAATATAGAAATTACATTTTTCACTGAGCCTTATACCATGAAGAAAGTTTGTAAATAATCTCTTTTAAAAATTATTACACAATTTTTGATTTAATTTCATATTACTGAGAAATACATTGCATATTTTTCAATATTCATGTTACAGTATGAAAAATATACTTACTCTATTTTTATGTGCATTTACAGATGCATATCTCACTGTTCCTCTAAAACCACATGCATTCCTTGGAGGACGTAACTGTTTGTCTTTTGTCAGATAATCTCTTGCTAATCCAAAGTCTAGCATGTAAACTTTATGCTTAGTTTCTGGTAAGCGACCCATTGCAAAATTTGACTAAATCATAATAGAAAGTTAAAAATTAACATTTTTAAAAATAATTAAAAGTTCATCATTAAATTCTGCTCCTGAAATGTCAGGAAATTCACTTCTTACAGCTATATTATAATTCAAGAACTGTTTGTTTTCTAAATTTAAAAAAATGGAATATTTTTCAAAATGATTGAAACAGGCTGCAATTAAAAGGCTGGCTGTATTAACAAGACATATTTATATAGAAAAAGAAAGATATATTTTTAACAGACCTTTTACAATTAAAGTACAAGCCTATCAAAATCATTGATTTAATTATGAATCTGCACATATCTACCAAGTAGTAAACCGTAACACAGCTGGGGATATGGAGGACATCTATTCCCGAGTGCATCAAACCAAAACTTTTCCCATTGCATTTTAGCAAACAGGAAGGGATGCAAAATTATCAGTTGTGTCTGGGTGCTGAAAACCCTAGGTATATCTCTGGTAGTACCTCAATGTGATATACTGGTATAACGCATAAATATGATTGGCCATAAAAATCTAAATTAGAGTTAAAACAATGATGAAAATAACTAGATATAAAGGTGATTGAAACAGATGACTACAAGCTGTATTTCCTTAAGTACTGATCTTAGACACATCCTTCTGCTTACAGTAATATGTAGTTTCCTACAATAAGGTATGGAATTTTTATGAAAATGATGAAAACACTGGTTGAAAGGGCTCTATAAACAGAAAATGTAATTTTTTACATACACACTGCAGTAAAAATTCCATTAGTAAAATATTCTTTATGTTTTATTAAATATAAAAATAAAATGTATACATTTATAATACGCATAACTTGTGTAGGTATTCTGGAATTGCATATATTCATTTGGATCCCTTTTCAATTCCTATTGGTGATCAACTCTTACTTTACCAAATGTTCAATTTGAAAGCAAAAATCAAGATAATTTCACCAAATTTATTGAACAGCTAAAAAACAAAAATTAAATATTATGATGATTAACGACTCTATAGTGAGTAAATATTGTTACTTATCAAATTTGTAGATGACCTCATGCACAAAAGTCTTTCAAAAAGAAGGAACAGATTTTACTTCCTTGCAAAATTTTTATTTCTTGCCAGATGACGTACAACTTTTTTTTTTTTTTTTTTTTTTTGTACAGTAAGAAAGAAACAATTTTGCAAGCATGTAAAATCTGCTCTTTTCAAGTGAAGTACCCTGTATTTTAATTAAGCATACATCAGTGATTTTGCACATAAAGATATGGAATACCTGATCTTTAATTTATTTCCATTTTATAGTATAAAATTAATTAGTTAAATTACTATTTGCGACACATTTAGAATGGTACTTTAGAGCGAAATCACCAAATTTTTTTAAAGATTGTAATATACAACTTCCGAACTGAGCAAAAGATAATAGAGCAGAATGCATTCATGTAAAATTCAGGAATAAAACATACAATGTTGTACATGCTTCATTTACCAATAAAACAGAAGTACTTTTCAGACAACCTAATATTTACTTATAGTTTGATTAGTATAATCTCTAACATCTTTGATTGCAACACCTTCTATTTAATTACGAACATGAATGAATACAAACATGAAGAGTATTTCTTCTTAAAATGTATTTAACTTGACTGTTTTCCATTTTCTGATGCTGTGTTAGCTATACTCAAGAATAGGACTTACTACCTTTTACATGTTCCCATGGCAACTTTTATGCTGCTGCACAAAACTAATATGCAATAAAAAAATATTATTTTTTTACATTAAACTAAGCTTTTCTTGTAAGAAAAATAACATGTACACATGTTGGATACACATTTAGAAAGCTAAATTATCTTGCTTTCAAATAATGCTAAAATGTTGTTGATGCCAAATTAAGTACAAAATTTGAAAAACAGAAAAACCTAAGATTTTGAATATATAATTATCTAACAGGATGTACCATCTTTTTGCAGAAATATAAATCAAATCTTTCCATGCCATTTCAAATATTTTCACATGACTAATTCAAGTGTCATTTAAGTGCTGTGCAATTAAACTTTCTTTAGAAAGAGCAAATCTGAGCTACTGCAGATTCTGGGGATAAAAAGGTCACACACTACAACTTATCACCATAGCACATACAAGATATGCTCAATAAGACTAAGGTCAGGAAAGTATAGTATCCAATCCATTTGAACAATATCGCCAGTTTGAAGGCATTAAGCAGCAACAGCAGCTTGTGGAGAATCAGCATTTTCATCCACGAATTAAAAAAAATCTGGGCCTGCCGTAATCCTAAAGAGGCCAGGTGCAGAACTTCATCTACATATTGCACACTTATAAAAATTTTCACAGAAGTATGGAGTTTAATACAATCAAGTTTCACGATATCTCCCCAAACAAATAAGGCCTCACCCATGAAAATAATCTTTCTTGGATATGCAGTGCAAAGTTGTGGGTTCCAGACAGCCTGATAAAAATATATTCAGAATCACTATTTAAACTGAACCTGGACTTATACAGGCTGTTTCATAGATCATGGGACAAACTTAGAGGGGTGGTGGAGCATACTAAAACATGCATTTTTTGTATAGGAATGTAGGATCTATAGTGACAGGTTACAGTAGGACACAAAAAAACGACACAAGAGGAAAATGTGTTTATGTACAAAATCAATGCAAAGTGCTTCTTTGCAGCAATACAGTATTCACAATATATGTTCCAAAAAGGTTACACTAACAGTAATAAGAACTACAGCTGTGACTGGCTGGCAATGCTGCGGTAGAGAACAGTAGCGAGCTGGACAAACCATGATCCGATGCATCAGTGGATCATTCGCAACTCTGATGTTGAGCGTGATGGGTGAGTTTACACACAAAGAAAAAGCTGACATGCATCTCATGTATGGTGCTTCTAATGGGAACGGCAGAGCAGCGCTACGGTTGTACCAGGAATGGTTTCTGAACAAGCGTATGTCGAAGCACACAATGTTCGAGAAGTTGCAGCGGTCTCTGTGTGAAAACGGGTCTAGGAGTGGAAGAAGAAGTGCATAAGAACCTCGCATTGAAGAATCCATCTTGAACATTGTGCATGAATCACCTCAGACAAGTACAAAAGCTATTGCACGTCATCTGCAGCTGAGTCATTCCACCATTTGGAGAGTATTGCATGAAAATGGTTTGCACCCATACCATTTGCAGAGAGTCCAAGCCTTGTAAGAGACAAATTACCCTCTTCGAGTTCATTTCTGTCATTGGTTCTTGCAGCAGTGTGCAGCGCAGGCTGATTTGCTGTCGGATATGCTATTCACGGACGAGGCAACTTTCTCACAGGATGGGCATCTTCAACAGCCACAACATGCATGTGTGGGCAACTCATAATCCACACGGCACACGTCCACATGCATTTCAAACCCGCTTCTCCGTGAGTGTGTGGGCGGGTATTGTTAATGACTACCTCATAGGCCCATACCTCTTAACTGCAAGTACAAATGGCTTATGTTATCATATTTTTCTGCAAGAGGTGCTACTGGAATTGCTGCAGGATGTTCCGGCTGTCGTTCGTGATCGCATGTGGTTCCAGCATGATGGCGCACCAGCCCATAACCACGTGCGGGTGCGCAATTACTTTGATGGGACATTTCCGGCCTATGGACTGGCCATGGTGGACGCGTTCGATGGCCCCGCCATTCACCAGATTTATCCAGTTTGGATTTTTTTTATGGGGTCATCTGAAGAGCATCATTTATGAGACTCCCGTTGACTCACTGGAGGACCTCGTTGCACGACTATCCATTGCGGCTGCAAGCGTGCGAGGAATGCCTGTCGTTTTTCAAAATGTTCGTCAATCCCTTCTGCGACGTTACCAAGCATGTATTACTGTTGGTGGTCACAATTTTGAACATTTATTGTGAATACTATATTGCTACAAAGAAGCACTTTGCGTTAATTTTTTACATAAATACATTTTCCTCGTGTCTTTTTTTTTTTTTTTTTTTTTTTTTTTTTTGACTGCTGCCTTAACCTGTCACTTTAGATCCTACATTCTTATAAAAAAATGCATGTTTTAGTATGCTCCACTACCGCTCCAAGTTTGTCCCATGATCTATGAAACACCCTGTATATGAACAGTCATCTTGACTCCTCTGACAAAGGAAATGACACATCCTTCTCTGAAAGATATGAAAAGACAAATGCAATGCAAGAGTCTTCTTGCATGCAGTAGCTCGTGAAGCCTGTAGTAAGCACAGGAATATTTATTCAAGTACCACTAGCTTTTGCTAAATGTCCTTTGTGGCTGCCTAGAGACCAGCTAAGAGACTGCAGCTGCCCCCACACTACCTCAAACAGCAAGACAACTAACAATTCTCAAGCCTAATAATTCTTTTAGATTCCACTTTATAGTCTGTGACTTCAGAATAGGCACTGTAAGGCCATATTCTCTCTCTCTGGCTTGCTTTGTAACTATGATAACAATGACTATGGACGATGGGCAACCTCTTTAATTTGTTGAAATTCCCTAATCCTTTCTGTGTGGTCATGACAACACATTTCGTGACTGCAAGTGAGGGAAGAATCATTATGACTTTGAAATGCCTATTTTAAATTAACAGGTTATGGGAATATTCAGTTATCCGACAGTTTTTGACCGGCCATCAGTTTTTTCTGTAACCTGCATCATTTGAACATCTAAATGATTTTTGGCAATGATTAACAGTACTTGACAACTTTCAAACTTTACATTTAATCATGATATGAGCACAATACTGAACATATTTCCTAAAATGATTTTCTGATTTTTGTCTCATTTGCATTTTGAGTAACAGTAGATTTTTTTCATTCATAAACATACAATTATTATAAATAATTATACTCATTGGAATTTTAATTGGTCTCTGCACAGTTAGCATTACCTTTATAACTATCTTTCATTCTGAATACTGGTGTGTGTTGTCAAGTAGTGGTGTTAGGTTGACCATAACATATCTGAAATATCTCAGCTAAGCCATATGAATGCCCTGAACAGGCACTATGTTTAAACTATAGAGAGGAAATCAAAAGATGAAGCAAGCACAAGAGTTCAGTGACCAGCATCCATAATTAGTCACACTTTTAAATTCAATATGTTGATCTGCAGCCAACACCACATGTGTATTCTAAACTGTTTTTTATTATACCTTTTGGAAGCTTATATTTTCAAGATAAACAATAAATTATAATAATAAAAGTTACACATATTTCTCATATTTCTGCCTACACAAAAATGAAACACAGTACATGCTATTTTAAAGCAAAATACTACACAACTTTTAATAGCAAACATACTGAGAAATAAAACTGTTTTGATGGCCACAAATTATTTCCAGACAAATACATTTAAAAATTATTTATTTGTTTTATCATTAAATGTGTCCAATGTCTTTTCTATAATTTTCAAAGTTGAACAATAATGACAGCACATCACTCATTATTCTTCCAAGTTTTGCGTAATATCTAACAGCTACTTTTTTATTCTTAATTTTTAGTGAAAATTATAGGTCTCCACTATTTACAACTCTGATGTTGCTTTCTTCAAGGAAGAAATCATGCAACAGTCTTAAGGTACAGATTTTTTAATGATGTGTATCACATTCTAATAACTTATCTTCAACAGCAAATAACAGCATGATAAATAATGGACTTTAAGTGTCATAGTCTACTCAACTTCAGCATTAATCTTTTTCCATGGAATTACATGTCTCTGTTAAATCCCAATACAGTATTACCTCCATGTTTACAGACAATATGTTTCAAAATTTATGACAGACACATGAAACTATGGACAGTAGAAAAATGCTGCATAAAATAGAATTTCCACATGATATACATAATTATAGTAGTTAAATTAAATTCATAATTAATGCAAGTCTTACTAAACTAAAAGTACCAATAAACTATTCTGTGTACTGAAATATACCATATACCATACTGGTAAATAAAATTGTGACCGAGACTATATTCAAAGTTTATTGTACATTTGAATATAGTCTCGGTCATACCTATGAATGCATGAATGCAAATAATTTTGAAATTTTAACTTGATCATCAAAAGCCCCAACATGAAATGATGAAATGCAATTTTTGTACTGTACAGTATAACATAATGTTTAAACTAATATTAATAGTATGCTAGTAGTGTTCAAGCACTTGTAACATCAATAATCTTACATGATGGACCTCATTGTGGTAAATAAAGCTTTTTGAAGAGCAGGATAGCTGCAATGACACATCACTAATGAAAGAAAGAAAATACTCAAAAGACCACTAAGAGTCAAAATTCTCTACCAAAATATTTATGAAGTTGTTGTGAGAGGTCTGAATCTGAAAGGTTTCTTTCTGAGAATACACATAAAGTTCCATAACGAAAATTTTCCGTATGTGTGGGAAGAAAATATTTGGGATGTTTGATAATTCTGGCTTTGCTTTGAATTGCTTCAATTTATCTGCTTTCATTAACTTAGGAAACTTAAAAAGTATTTCTGTCCTCTGCCACTCTGAACTATGAATAAATGAAACTAATGACACTGAATTAGGAGACTCAGGGGGCATGACTGTATATAAAAAAAGGAAAAGCTGGCTGTCACTTCAGATGGCCAGTTTTTCAGGTAAATCTCAATCAGTTTATCATCAGCACTTTGGTGATCCAAAAAAACATTCAAGGTACCTCCAATTTACAAGAAACTACATTTCATATGATGAATTAAAAATCCTTGAAAAAAATAGAAATTTCATAATATTTTTACAGGAGAAAAAGTTTTAAATTCTTTATTTAAACCAACATTTTCCTAGCTGCAAGTTGTAAGCAAAAATGCACCATTTGGTACTAATTTGTTAAGCCGATTTCGCAGATAGTCACTTCATTGAAAAATACTTGCAAAAACAGAAAATTATCTGTGGACTATTTTATGCATAATGACAAATATTTGTAATTCTAAACTCAAATCTAAAAGAAGTTTTTCCCTTTAAATATTCCCAGTTTTTAGAAGTTTAGAGAACTCATACCAATTCTCAGTTTTTATATTTCTTAAAGTATGATTAAGTAATGCTAATGCAAAATAAGTTCCTTATTAAAATCAAAACAATACAAATCTCATCTATTTCAGAAATTAGGAATATATGACTGCCATACAAAAGAAACATGTACAACTTACAGGTTTAATGTCTCTGTGAACAAAACCAGCATCGTGTAGATATTCAATAGCCTGCAAAATTTGATGACCTACTCGCAGAGTGGTACTTAAGCTGAAACAGTTGCTTGGTTGACTGTGCTTGAGTTCAGACAAATTGGGACCTTGAAGTTCCATGACAACATAATTAAAAATATGAGTTCGCCCACAGCCTATGAAATGGCAAAAGTGATCCTTTCCTATTAAAAAAAAAAGTTGAAAACTTTGGAATTGGTTTTATAACATTGAAAAATATGTTGCAAAAATTTAAAAAGTGATTGAAGACCGAGTTTAGATTTCATAACTTTGAGAAAGTTAAGGTTGTACTGCAGTACCAGTGTTTTCTCTTTAAAAAAGATGTAAGCATAAAACATATTACTGCAAAAAATTCTGGTGCACTTAGCATGGAAAAAGAAATGCATTAGGAAATAAAATTATAACTTTTCAAATTGATCTAATATTATAATTCATAGAACTTGTGGAAGACTTTTGGAAGTACATGAATTAAGAAAAGTATCCCAATATCACTAAATGTAGCAGAATATATCTACTCTTGTTCTGGATTTACATATTTATGTGAATTGGCTTTTTCATATTTAAAGTTCATGAAGATTTAACATTGTTCTCTACTTACTGGTTCCCATTATGAAGATTTGTTATTTATGTCTGAACATATACCAGATTATGAACACTTTACTGCTAGAAACATGCAGTTACAGTCTTCCCAGTAATGATAATACAATCACATTCAATCTGTATTTTTTCTGTGACTATTTTTCAATTAATAAAACATATTTATTTCAATACCCTTTCTCTCCAATTATCACTTAGTCACACATGTTTATATGCATTTAATGCCAAGATTTTTAATAGGTAGATCATGAAATTTTTTAAGGAAACAGGTTGATCATATTTATACATAAGTTGTTCACCCCTCTTCTTTAAAATACATTTACAGTCCTAGCCTATACTGTCACCATCAAGAACAACAGATGTTCTTACTTTTCTAGATAATGATATCACCCAGGTGACAGTGGCTCATGCTACATCATAAATCTGCTACCTTAGTAACACTAATAAGAAAAACACCAACAATTTCTCCTCCTTTGAACTCCAGTGCACTTCTCATATAGCTTTCAGCAAAGTCAGTAGCTATATCATCGTCGAAAATGCAAACCACACACTTTGTTGCTAATAAAAGTTGAAAGGGATTCCTATTCAAAATTTCATATTACAGCTTAAAATACGAAGTAATGCTCACCAGGTGTTTCAGTTTAATTGCCCAATCCTTGTGGGAAAAAAAAAAAAAAAAAAAAAAAAAAAAAAAAAAAAAAAAAAACTGAATAGATGCAGGAAATGTTTACAAAGACTTAGACATGTAAATATGAAATTTAGTCATTTTTAAAAAATACTGAGAAACACCAAACAAGACAAGTAGAAATATCCTGATAAATTAATATTAAACATGCAGGCAGAAACAAATGTCATTTAACTGTCAACACCATGTCAAATGTGCAACAACTTTTAAGTAACACAACTAATCCACATGACAGGACATAGCTATGCCTACATCATATGGCATGGGCAATGCCAGGTTCTTACTTTAGATAAAACAGATAAGCATTACATTATCTATGGTAAGATAAATTAACATATTATAACATTTTAATTCTTTAGTAAATTATTCGCTCTCATGCTCTAGAAATAATGTAATATTTTCCCCTAGCTATTTTATTTTAAATAACTGTCTTAAATAATTGACTTTAACATAATGTCATTGCTAATTTATTTAATCGGGTGCAAATATTTTTATTTCATAAATATTCCTCTATAAATAATTATCTGCTTATAATATGCAATTATGATACCTTAACTGCATTATATTTTAACCACAGCAAATATGGAAAAATTATTTGTAGTCACTTTGTTTTAGAAAGATATTAATTCTAAGATGTTGTTATCCTTATTGTCATCATTATTTGAACATTCAGTACATTTCAAATTAGAATCTAAGTGATTAATATCATTCAAATCATCATGAATAATGTTACAATGAAAATTGCTAGCAGTTTCCAAAACCGGTTTAATGCAGAAAGAAATTTTCCATCATTTCCTCAACTAGTCCATCAGTTCTCATTATTTCTTTTATATTTTCTACATGTTTAAAATATCCTCTCTATTTCTTATATCCAAGTTTTCAATAGCTTCGGATGTAAATGATTTAAGACATTCAAAGCTAAAGCCAACACTAAAATGTCATTCCCTCACAAACCATTTAATTGATGCCCATATTTATTCAACAAAATTTATTTCACAAAGTGCAGCAAAAACATTAGCACATCACATCCATGTTCTGAAAGTTTCACAATGTAGCACTTCTCTCAAAGTGGTGTATTTGCTCACATAATATCAAACAATTCTTTATGCAATCCCCCCTTATAACTATATGCACTCATTTTGTTTGGTTGTACATTTAGTAAGAAAAAGATCTAAAAGCTTTCTTTTGTATGTTAAATTGCCCAAGCAAATAATAAAATTGTGTGGAACCGCTTTAGCAATTTTCTTTAACCTTTCCCCAAAATTGTCAAAGTTCATTTGTTAATGATAAGTGTAAGATAACATTTTTGGAGTGGTCTCTGTCAGAAAATCTTGACAGATTTAGAGAAGTATGACAAAGAGATTCTCTCTCTTGTCCACTTTTAATGTAGCACTTGAAAGAGTCATGATTCAAACATCAACAAAAATGGACATAGTTTTTCTAAATTGGTACAGCTACTTGCATATGCTCATGACGTTGATATGATTGTCAGGACTATTCCTGTTTTGAGAGAGGTTTTCCTTGCCCATAAGTTGGCGGCAAGTTGAATGGCCTTATTTATAAATGAGGAGGAAGTAAAATATATGTCTTTTACAAATATATATATATATATATAATTTATTTACTAAATAATATTGATTATATTATCTCCGAAGATTAATTATAGTACAATTATCTGAAAAGAGTGAATCCATACTTAGTAAGTTCTATTTCGAAAGATGTTTTAAGTGACTTGAATGTAAATTGTTAAAAATGTTTATATAATTCCAGCTCCTCTTGAAATAGACTCCTATAGATTTGAATCTAATAAGAGTTTGTCTATTTAAGATCTATTATTATTCTTGATAACAGATTAACTCTTGAAACCAGAATCAGGTACATCAGGCAAGTAAGACTTTCTGTAGGTAAAGAAGATTTTGTAAATCTAGATTTCTTTCAAGAAAAGTGAAGTTTTTGATTTACAAAATGCTTGTCAGACCTGTTTTGATATACGCCTCTGAGACTTGGATAAGGACAACACTAGAAGAAAATCATAATGAAATTGACCACTTGTTAGCACAAATTTTAAAATTCTATCAGAAATCGCATTCCTTTTTCCAAACAACACAGGAGCACCACATAAATGTCTAAAGACTTCTTTCCTAAATACTTTGAAAAATTCAATACTTCTATGCAAAAAATATTTTCTTACAAATACTTTAATACCCTCCCCCCAAAAAATTTAATGAGCCGTGCTACAATTCTGAAACCAAATTTGGAAGGGGGGGAAGATATCTTAGATTTCTAGTATTTATTATATGAAGCTAATTTTTTATTTATTTATTAATTCACTTAATGCTGTTAAGTTTATTACACTTTAATGTACTTGACTATAATACCAGAAAATTAATTACAATCAAAAAATTTTTTACAACTGATTCAAATGCTACCTTTGATGAATATTTTTATCCACTTACCTTTAACAGCTTTTAAGACATCAACTTCCATTTTTGATAGTGGCCTTTTATTTTCAGCTGGCTCCGATTTTATGGCAACAAGGTTTCCTTTAAATATATCTTTGCTCTCATATATTTGTCCAAAGCCCCCATGTCCTATTTTTCTTAGCTGAGGAATTGATAAAGGTCAGTGTTACTAAAGACTGCACTGAAAATTTACCAATGGATTTTTTGCAGTTCTTTCAGCCTATTTTCCAAAGTTTGAAACAGACTTACAATAGTAATGCAAAAACAATGGTATTTAAAATAAATTACACATGAACAAATATAACACACTTTTTACTGCTTAAAATAGCCATACCTAGAAATAATTAAAGGAAACAACCAGAATTTTATATACATTTACCCATAGTCTACCGATCAAGGGCATATCCTGAATTTCCATAAAGAACATGCTGCTGAACACCAAATATTTCGAAAATTTTATGAATAATGAAAATTAGAATTACATATATTTGAAAGTTGAATATATCAATTTCAGATATTTTTGCTACAAAATCCAGTATAATTTCAAAAATCTTTTAACTGCCCTGACTGCAAAAAATGTTTCTGGAATAACAGCAATCTAAAATGTCACTGCATAAAATTGCATACAAACAACATTGCTTAAGGCCAGTAAAAGTTAAATTTTCAAATTTAAATGTAGTTTATGTAGTCATCAGTTCAACAATAATAAAAATTTGCTATTTTGACAAGCGGAGAATGTATTCACTGCACTTGAGTGTTTATCATAAAATATTAATACAAATACCCATTATGTAATGAACGTTTCCCAAAGAAAAACTTTTCATTACATTTGCAGACAGAACATGAAATTGCCATTGAAAAAAAGAGAGAGAATTCTCTGTGTTTCGTGATTTTATGTTGTGAAAGGAGAACTTTGAAAGGGAAACAAAATTTAAAATTGTCAAATTTACAAAAAAAAACATGAACAATCAGGCGTAGCAAGCATGACTGGCCCCGGGGCAAAATACCTTTTTTCGCGCCCCCCCCCCACATAAAAATTTCAATATAATGTATAGAATTATTCGTAATAAGAAAATAATGCAAATAATAATAAATGCTGAATCTGGCCATAAAATACTCAAAAATATATTAAAATAGTCACTACCTAACTACGCTATCCTTGGATTAGGAAATCAGACATACGATGATCTAGAATTAGTTCAAAAGGTGTTATAAGTGTTTTAAAAAGTGCAGGTTTTAAACAATTAAAAGTTAATATACTTATAGATAAATAGATATGTAGCAACTTGCCTACTACAACTCAACTCTGCCATCTGGTAACCATAGCAACAAAGAACAAATAATATTTATTCTATTCAACTGTTATAATTATTTAATGACTGTCTCAAAAAATTGTACTATCATAATTGGTGACACATACTTATACGATAGCAACCTTCAATGTTGCACGAATATGGAGTTCATATGTCAAAATTCTGAGGCAGCAGTAAGTTATCCGTGTGATGAGATGCAAGTAAGACATTTCACCTGTCATTTAAAGAGTTGTGCAGCATTCCGGTGAGTCAACATATTTCTGTCTTTCAGTGGGATATGTCTCGTGTACAGCATTTGAGCCGCCAATTTCTCTGATTTCAAGTACCAAGAAAACTGTGTCACTATAAACATATTGATTATTTTTCTATACATTATTATTGTGCGTTTGATTGATATAAAGTGGTTGACAACGATGCTGCTTCACAATTGGCGCGAGTGGCAGTTAAGCCATCACCTTTTTGTCGCCGAGACCCATCCTTATGGTTCATCAATTGGATGCGCAGTTAGTCACATTACTGCCGACGAAACTCAATTTTATACAGCGATCTCCGTGTTAGAATCAGAGGTACTGTAATCAGCTCGTGAAATAATTTTGAATTCACCGGCGACGGACAATACAATCTTTAAAAATATTAATTTCTGTTGTGAAGAATCATATGACAGAATCAAGCAGTTGTTGCACGATTTACGATTGGGTGATAGGAGGCCTTCTCAATGCTGTCTAAAATGTCAGACATTAGCCACCGGTAAGCTAACGGATAACATCTTAAAACATTATAGATAATAGACTTCCATCTAACATGCAACCATTTTAGCGGCCAGCAGGAGCCACTTAAAAATCTTCCCGAAATCGCTGATAAAATTCACAAGTTGGCCATTTCCAGCGCAAATACACGCAGTGCAGGTTCCTGGTCCAGGTACTGTGGCGTTACAGGCTCAAATTGAATGATTTGTCTAAACAGGTTGCTCATTTAGTAGCCATCCAAGCTGAACCTTTTCAGCGCAACCGCTCCACATCCCGTGGTCGAAATACACGTCGTAGCCCACTGAGGAAACGTTATGAAAGCCGGTATTCGTAACACGGCTATTTGTTTTTACCACCCACAATTTGGAAACAAGGCAAACAAATGCCACCCAGTGTCGAAAAGAATTCGGGCTTAAGGTTTCTTGTAGACACCGGGACTGATGTTTCTGTCCGTTCCACCACATTTTCACGAACAAAAGGGCTTACCAAGCTATAACTTTATGTAGAAAATGGAACTCCTATTCAAATTTTTGGTGAACGCCTGATATCTGTTGATTTAGGATGCGCCGCAACATCCAATGGCCATTCATTTCAAGTCCTATTAGTGGCGCTGACGTTTTCAAAAATTGTCTTTGCTTGTCGATCCTAAAACGCCGTTTGATATATTCCACAACCAATTAACTTATCCGGGAGTAATTCACAATAGTCAAGATTTGAGCAAAACTGATTTCGGGTAACTCCCCATGGCGTCAACTTCTCAGAGAATTCTCTACAAACACGCGCCCAGTTATGGGTAGTTCGAATCCAACACGATGTACTACATTATATTGAAACGACCGGACCTCCAATTGTAGCTAAACCAAGACGCTTACCTCCGGACAAGCTTAAAGCCGCCAAAGAGGAATTTCAATACATGATGGAACAGGGAATTTGCCGTCGTTCAGAAAGTTAATGGGCCAGTCCGCTCCATCTAGTTCGGAAACGAAATGGTAACTGGCGCACGTGTGGCCAATATCGTCGGTTAAATGCAGCTACAATTCCTGATCGTTACCCAGTCCCGCACATTCAAGACTGTATGCAAGTTTCAGACGGAAAAGCTATTTTTACACCCTTGATCTTGAGCGGGCGTATCACCCAGCTGATATTCCAAAAACTGCTGCAATGCTGCTCAAACGTTTTAACGCTTCATGAATCAGGTGTTAATCTGCCTCGACTTTTGTGTACCTTATTTTGATGACGTCTTAATCACCTCCTCTTCAGAGCAAGAACACCTATCACATTTGAGAACAGTTTTTGAACGTTTTCAAAGGTACGATGTCAGTCTTAATCCTTCCAAATGCGTTTTTGGCCAACCAAGAGTATCCTTTCTTGGTCATGAAATTTCCGCTGATGGCGTTCGACCCCTTCCAGATAGAGTCACCGCTATCCACGATATACCCGAACCATCTTCAGTGAAGGACTTAAGAATCTTGCCATGCTCAATTTTTATCGACGTTTCTTACCTCATGCAGCGACCATACAATACAAGGCACCTCTAATTCTTTTTCGGTTGGAAGCAAGAAAAACGATAACGTGTTATAACCTGGATCACAGAATCTCGCGAAGCGTTCCAAAAATGCAAAAATGATTTAATTTCAGCACCAAATTTGCAGTATCCCTCCGCATCTAAACAATTATCACTCTACGTTTATAATGTATTTTCTCCCGCTTTCCTAGCGTGCCTTTGTGGTGTATGGTTCTGCACGCTGGGCCGGTACTCCAGAGGTCCGCGGTTCGATTCCCGGCGAAGGCTGTTGCATGTTTTCATATCTTCTGCTTCCAAAAAAATAACCTAATGCCTCTACACGATGATGCATCAACAACAGGTATGGAGCAGTTTTACAACAGAAATATCAAGAATTATGGAGACTACTTTCATATTTTTCTAAAAAACTCTCACCAGCACAAACCAGATACAGCACTAACGATCGCGAATTATTAGGAATTTATGAAGCTGTGAAATATTTTCGACATATGCTACGAGCAATATATATCAAAAGATATCCGTTATATTGAGGGTTCGCAGAATATTGTTGCAGACACCTTGTCTCGTATTGAGAACTAGCCGTTCCTTCGCCAATAACTTTGCTGCCCTTGCGGATGAAACAACACGGGATTCAGAACTACAAACCCTCTTGAAAAGCAAATCTTCCACCAATCTCAACTTGCAGCCTATGCAGCTGTCACCTGGAAAATCAATTTATGTGTGTTCAGGATTCAAGATTTCGACTTTATGTTCCCTCCAGGTTTCGCCATGACATTTTTAGTCAGTTACATCGTCTGTCACATCCTGGCATCAAGGCTTCGAGGAAACTGATACAGCAACGTTTCGTATGGCCTAGCACGCAAAAGGACATAGCCAACCGGACACGTTTGTGCTTGGAGTGCCAAAGATCTAAAAATGTCAGACACACCACCAGCCAACTTAAAAATTTTAATTTGCTCTCATCTCGCTTCAATCACGTGCACCTCGACATGGTCGAGCACTTATATTTATTAATAATAAATAATACATGAATACAATAATTACTATGTATACATTTTTCTTACCTTGGATGAAGCAAATTTATCATTTACTTCATCAAAGTCGATCCTTTCAAATTTTCTCTTTCCACCTTAAAAATGCTAGATGACTTAGGGGATCTTGGCCCATCGTTGATTGTAAATATGTGAAAATTTATTTTAATTTGCTGAACGAACGTTCATATCTAGCATTTAATAACGAAATAGTAAGTAGTATTTAAAGTGCGACTCTTAGGTTTGGAAAAACATTTTCTCTATAGATCTGTAGTGGAATTTTAGGTTACGTTTCTTTCTACTGCGGAGTAACGTCATGAAGTAACATTCACTGCTCAAAACAATTAGGGGATATTGTGGGTTCGGAATGAAAACCATATAATCGATAACCTTTTTGAACAAAAGGCAATAGAAGAGATACAAAGGGAAATATAACGTTTAAAAAGTTGGGAAAATGCAAATTAGTCTGTGACGTCGAAAAACTATGAGTTTAAGATAAGGAGTGAAAAAGCGACCTGCAGCATCCT